TAGTGGTTTTACTTGATTTTATACCTCACATTTCAATGACTACCCTGAGAGATTGTTTCTAGTCAGGCTAGGAAACTTGCATTTACTGTAGTTTATAAATTAGGCTTTTCTGTAGCTTTAGTATACATTAATATAAAAAGGGAAGCATTATTTTCTAATTCAGTGAAGCTTCTACTGAATTAATTTAATTTTTAAATGAGAATGGCTATAATACAAATAATTAATAATTCTGAATGTTAAGTTTGTACTTGAGATAATTTTCTAATTAATAAGAAATTATATTGCACTAGTGACTTAAATGTACTGCAAGTAGAAAGTTATATGCTAAGTCGTCATCTGGCAGTATGTGAGATACTTGGCTCTTTTGAAAAGAATTTGGCTCCTTTCAGAGACTGGTATGGTGTAGGAATATTTCTATTTTTCTTACTCTCCTTTCCTAACATGAAATTGCTCATTACTTTTTGTATCACATAACAAGAGAACATGATTTGGGCTGACAAGGATTCAGCCCAAAACTTATGGCCCAGAAACTTATGTTCCAAAACTTGAAAGTGAGGAAGAATCCCCAAATATCAGCTGCTGAATGATCCCTCTGGTGTCTCTGCAGATGCAAGTTGAGTTTCTCGTGAGCAGGCCTCCATAGTAAATTTTGACCTCTAAATCTTTTTCTTCCCTTGCCTTTTAGTTCTTCTTATACACGTGGGTACATAAGACAGTATTTTCTTTTAATTGATATTCTACTTGATTTTAAAAAGAAAGGTCTGGTAAGATATGCATGTGTCTATATCAAATAAGTGTATCATTACCCTGGGATTTAATATCTATTCTCTTTGAACATTAAATTTAATTCTAAATTTGTGGACAGCTAGTGAAAAGGGAAATAGTTCTGTGACCATCATCATCATCATGATCATCATTTTCATGATTAGAAGAGGCAACCCATTTTTTTCTGAATTCTAAAATTTGTTAGCATAAGTCAGCTTTTTTCAAATTTGAATGGAGGACACTGTTCTGTCAAATATTAACAAATATTGGGGTATAGAAAACAATATAAATAAGTTGGGAAACATAGTAAATAAACAGACTTATATATATATTTCCTCATGACTTTAAATATCCTGAATGTCCTTACTCTCGAGAAAGAAAGACACATTTATCTAACTTACTTTATCTTGAAATACCCCATTTGGTGAGCATCAGACTTTGAAACACGTTTCCCTGAGTCCATAGACATTACGGACTGCATATCTTCCAAATGTTTTTGCAGATGATGTTATAATCCCCTCCTCTCAGGGGGGCCCTTTTAAGACAGGTCTGGCTCTATTACCTAGGCAGAGTGTGGTGGCATCTTTGGAGCTCACACTCCAACCTCGAACTCCTAGGCTGAAGTGATCCTGCCTCAGCCTCCTGAGTAGCTGAGACAACAGGCGCCCACCACAATGCCTGGCTAGTTTTTCTATTTGTAATAAAGGTGGGGTCTAACTCTTGTTCAGGTTGATTTTGAACTCCTGAGCTTAAGGGAGTCTCTCACCTTGGCCTCTCAGAGTGTTAGAATTATAGGCACTCAGCCTACTTGTCTTCTCTTTGTAATTGCTGTTTTAAATTAATATTTTCAGGGTACATGTGATAATTTAATACATTCACATCATTTATAAAGATGAAATCAGTGTACCGGGAATATCTACCACCTTAAATATTTATCTTTATGCCAGAAACATTTGAATTATTTCTTACATTTTGCAGTGTACAGTGGATTATTATAACCTATAGTCACTCTACGGATCTAGTCTTATTTCCTTTATCAGTGTGCACCCATTAATCAACTTCTCTGCTCCCCATGCCAGCTGTCTACTCCTTTCTCTCCTGGCTTCTGATGCTGTGCTCTCTGTCATCATGAGATCTACTTTTTAGCTCCCCCATATGAGTGAGAACAGTGAGTTTTGCCTTTTTGTGCCTGGCTTAGTTCATGTAACATAATGGCTATCAGTTCCATCCATGTTGTTGCAAGTGACAGTATTCTTTTGGGAGCTGAATAATACTCTATAATGTATATATGCCACACTTTTACAATCCGTTCATTCATTGCTGGTTACTTAGGTTGAGTCTGTATTTTGGCTATTGTAGATAGTGCTGGAAATAAACATTCTAGTACAGATATCTGTTTGATATATTTGATTTCTTTTCTTTTGGAAATATGCCCAGTAGTGGAACTCCTGGATCATATGGCAGTTCTATTTCAGTTTTTTAAGGAACCTCCATACTCTTCTCTGTAGTGTCTGTACTAATGTGCATTCCTGCCAACGCTGTGCACACGTTTCCCCTTCTCTGCAACCTCACTAGCATCTGTTATTCCTTGTCTTTTTGGTAAAAACCATTTAACTGGGGTAAGATGATTTCTCCTTGTGGTTTTAATTTGCATGTCTTCAGTGATGTTGAGCGTTTTTCATATGCCTATTGGCCATTTGTATAGCTTCTTTTGAGAAATGATCAAGATCTTTTGCTCATTTTAAATAGGATTTTTTTTTTTTTGCTATTGAGTTGTTTGATCTCCTTATATAGTCTGGTTATGAATCTTTGCAGATGGATAGTTTGCATATACTTTCATTCTGTGGGTTGTCTCTTGTCGTTTCCTTTGTGCAGAAGCTGTTTACCTTGATGTGATCCCATTTGTTGTTCTTTGCTTTGGTTGCCTGTGCTTTTGAGAACTTACCCAAAAAATTTTTCCTGGACCAATATCTTCAAGCATTTCCCCAATGTTTTCTTCTAATGGTTTCATAGTTTCAGTTCCTAGATGTAAATCATTAATTAATTTTGATTTGTTTTATGTATGGTGAGAGATGGGATCTAGTTTTATATATAGATATCCAGTTTTCTTAGCACCATTTATTGAAGAGACCATCCTTTCCTCTTTGTATGTACTTGGTACCTTGTTGGAAGAGTTGTCTGTAAATGCATGGATTATATCTGCATTTCCTATTCTGTTTTGTTGGTCTGTGTGTCTGGTTTTATACCAGTCCCATGCTGATTTGGTTAATGTAGCTTTGTAGTAAAATTTTGAAGTAAGGCAGTGTGATAACTCCAGCTTTGTTCTTTTTGCTCAGAATTGCTTTGGCTATTTTGAGGTCTTTTGTGGTTCCATATAAATTTTAGGATTTTTCTTTTCTATTTCTGTGAAGAATGTCATTGGTATTTTGATAAGGAGTGCACTCATAATTGCTTTTTATTTGACCTTTTCTTATGTTGATTTTAATTACTTTTGAGATACAATCCAGGGCAAGGCTTACTTCTTCCAAGAAGCTTAGATTCTATGTCCCAGGAATTGCTGATTTTGTAAAGCATGTGCAAGCAGGCCTTGGTCTTCTGGTTGACTGTGAGCTGCTGCTCTGGTATTTGGTCTAGGAGTGTCTCAGATGTACAGTCAGTCCAGACTGAGGCTAATTTTATTTTTCCTAGTGAAACCTAAGTCTCCATACTTCACCTCTATCAAGGCTACCGTTATTTCAATATGTAGCAAGATCCTGAGCGCTCCATCTCCTCCCTAGGGGCCTACTGGAAGTAATTAGTGTGGCAATAGCAAGTTACAGCTGCTGCACAGTATAGTCCTGTCACGTAGGGCCCGTGGTCTTCCTTGCTGGTCTGCTGTTGTTGCCATCCTTCTTTTACTTTAATCAGCTCTGGTTTCCCCCACTTAACTTAAACATGCATCCTTTACTCTTAAGAGCATTTGTGACCTACCTTTGCTGACCTACCTTGTGTGTAGGAGACTGGATGGTTCGACAGGTGTTGGTTTCTGTTGTCAGTGTACGGCCACAGTACTATTCTTCCACTTTTTGATTTAATACCAAATAAAACTGCCTAACTAAATATGATTGTTTCTTTCAGGACTTTTAACCTTCCACTTCTCGTTTTTGCTGTCCATTTTGTTTCATTTGTTGAAAATTTTGATACCTGAGTTTAATCTCCATTTTCACCCCAATTCTTTTCCTTACCCATTTTGTAGTGTAGCCTTCCAATCTGTAATTTCCTCAGCTTGAATCCATCTGGCCTTTATTATTTTTTTATTTATTTTTTACATATACATGTGTTTATTAGGTTTCCACTTTTTGCCTTCACAAAATTAAAAAGGCTTAAAATTTTTTTTTAAAGGCTTAAAATTTAATAACAATAACAATGTTTAAGACAAGGAGTAGAAACAAAAACCTCGTAAAGAACGAACGAAGATAAATATATTCAGAAAAGAATCAGACGAAACTTCTTTTTTTTTTTTTATATATGGTATGAAGTAGAGTTCTGTTCTTGATGATCTGCAGATGGGGAATCAGTAATGGTTTTGCAAAATGACAGAATGTGACGTGTGTAAGTTTCCCCATATATTGACTGGGTTTAAGAAGATAAAGGCTAATAAAAATTCTTGAGGCTGTGTTTAAAAGTGTTTTAGTTTCTAGTCATGATTGAGAACAAAAATTATATATGAGAGTTTGGTATCTAGGTATGTCATGATACTGATTCACAGATAGGGATTAGCCTTTTTACTAATGGGTGTGGTAGAAAGAGCATTGGATAGTTGAGATCTGGCCATTTGCAAATTAGTTACTTTTTCTCTGTTCTTTCTACTTCAGAGTGGAGAGAATAATACCTAATATATAGTTGGTGAGCCAATAAAATGCCATTATATACGTGTGTGCGTTATACACTTTGAAAGGCTTTAATGTTTAAGATCTAACAATTTGGAGAATAATTCTCTCAGGGTTGCTCCTGCACTTCACATTATCTTCATAAAAGCTTAAATTTCCTGATGTTCTGTGTTTTCTATAGGAAACAAAACAAAATCATAAAGTTGTTATTTGTGGTACTTTAATCTGGATGATAGAAAGATAGATTCCAGTGAATATTACTCAACAAAAATGTCTTAAATCTAAGGAAACTAGTTTAACTGTTACTTTTTATGACCCTGTTTTTTACATTACTGCTAATATACCTTTATAATGTTTTATCTACAGTTACATGATGTTGATTGATGGCACAAATGAAGTTTTTATGATTGATAGAGACAATTCAGTGTTTCATGTTTCAAATCTGGAATTTCCATTTCGTAAAGATCTCCGGATGCATTTATCAAATACACTCCTAGATGGGGTAAGTCCTATATATTTGTTTTGTTTTGTTTTTTAAATTAAATAGTCTCATTTTTCCCTGTAAGTTAATGTATTTTTTAAATTAATCAACACATTTAAAATTGAATCTAACTTTTAATAGGATGTTAAATTTCATTTATTTCTTACTTGCACTTAGAGTAAATTAAGATGCTTTTAAAGAAGGATCTGCCAATTTAATTTTTGGACATAAACAGGATAGAGATGCTTTCTTTAGTGGGTAAAGTTGTTGAAAATTTGGGAAACAAGTTAAATAAGTTCCACATTGATCATTGTTGCTGATTATGAGAAAAAGTGAACAAAGTTAAATTTTAATTTGTTTTGCTTTCTTTATGATTAAAAAATAATTCTTGGTAGAGAAGATGAGTTTAACTGTATCCCTTTACTTTTCAGTTGTATTTTAATTATGTGATGCTACACATTGTGTTTTCCCTTGGCTCCTTAGCTTTAAGTTCTTTCTTAAAGAGAATTATGCCTTTGAGGGCAACTAGCATTACTTTTACATTTGAATTTCTAAAGTTGATAAATTTTTTCCATTCTAGAAAATCTGTATTTAGTAATCTTAAAGTTAACTTGATTAAAAATATTTTAACTTGGGCAGCACCCGTGGCTCAGTAAGTAGGGTGCTGGCCCCATATGCCAGAGGTGGTGGGTTCAAACCCAGCCCTGGCCAAAAAAAAAAAACTGCAAAAAAAAAAAAATTTTAACTTTCTCCCATGCTAATAGCTTACCCTATTCTAAATATACTGGTTCATTTAAATAAAAATTAAAATAATGTAGACTATTAGAGAAAAGTTGGCAAAAACTATTTAAACTCCTAATGTTGGGGTAATTTCTATTGCTATTTTGATGACCATCATTTCAGACTTTTCTTTTCTTTTGAGACAGAGTCTCAAGCTGTCATCCTCAGTAGAATGCCCTGCTGTCACAGCTCACAGCAACTTCAAACTCTTGGGCTTAAGTGATTCTCTTGCCTCAGCCTCCCAAGTAGCTGAGACTACAGGCACCCGCCACAGTGCCCGGCTATTTTTTGTTGTTGTTGTTGTTGTTGTCATTGTTTTAGCAGGCCTGGGCTGGGTTCAAATCCGCCATTCTCGGTGTGTGTGGCCAGTGCACTACCCACTGCGCTATGGGCTCCACCAATTTCAGATTTTTCTTGTTGCTAGGGTGCTCCATCTGACATCTCTGTTCTTGAGGGATGTAACACATTTATGTTATAAATAGCAACTTGGAGCATAGATTCTTTAATGAGGTTATGTGAGAATCTTTAGAGACGTTAGATGCCCATTTCAGTCCCAGAAAGATGCTGAATCTCATGGTATCTCTGTCCTGGTTGAAAATAAGTGCTGTGGTCATAGATGGATAATGACCTAATTTTTAATGAAGAGAATCAAATACTATATGTGTTTTGTAACTTGTCATTTTTACACTTAATTCATTTTGGACATCTTTTTCACATAAATGTCTGAATGACATACTATTACATATATATGATCACCGTAATTTGGAATTTCCAAACTATCTTGATTGTGAAAATTGAAGGGTTAAAAAATTGCTTGTTAAAAAAATATGACCTCTTCAAACTGCCCATCCTAGACCTCACGACTTGGAATCTCTCAGAGGCCTTAGTGTCTGTACAGGTTACCAAGTGATTTTCATCAGGCATGTTTGATAATTAGTTTTGTGATTTATTTGATCACAATCAGTATGTATATAGTTGACAAC